AAGTTGCCCTCTCTTCCTTTTCATACCAGGTACTTTACTTAAAAACAGCAAGCCAAACCTCAAAAGAAAACTGTGCTTGCAGTATTACTTTCCCCTGCCCAGAAATATCTATACTTCTAAGCCTTTTAGGGCAATTGCCATTTTGACATGGGAGGTCTTCATTTCGTATGTCAGCTAGTTTCTGCGTTCTCTGGCTTCACTGCTGTGTGATCCTCAACCATGCTTTTTATCTCCAGGATTTCCACTTCATTCATGTATCAAACTGTTCTTGATTGCATATAACAGAGCTAGTAAATCCATTCCTTGCCACTTGTCCCACATGTCACAATGTCACTTGTCCCATGTCCCCTGGCTGCCACTCACTTGTTTTGATTACTTGTGAAAGACGCTGCTATATGCTGATGTCCCTGCTGCCCATGTGACTTCCACACTATCACCTCTTCTAGGAAGGGGGTGAAACTCATGAGGCCCACTGAGTAATGAGCCAGCAGAGAAATTAAGTCGTGTCTTTCGCATAACGATGATACAAACTCTTCTGATGTTGACTACAATGGAAACATCTCCCATGTAATGTTCTCTTAGATAATTTGTTAGCAGGGAATATGTATCAGTATTCATTACTGCTTTCCACATTCTGCACTCACTGAACACTCAGCATGAGAAAGATTAAATAGCTCTGCTAAATATACTGTCTCAATCAGTATATCAGTGGCCTGTTCAGCTACTTTTCACTCACATCTCAAGGTATTCAGTGCTTTTTCTACAACTTCTTCCACACTTTCTTCATCAAATTTCTCTGCAGATCTGTTAAAAACTATTCCAAGCCCAAACCTACAGCACATGCACTCAAAATATACGTGGATGTTTTCTTCAACAAGCGATATAGTGTGAAGACAGAACAATGAAAAAGGAACGAAAGTAAAATGAGGTTAATCTTACTTGCTCAGAAATATCCATAAATTATTAATTTTCAGCCAGATTCTACCGTCTTCATCACACACAACTCCAGCTGAAGTTGCTGGGATGTTTCTCAGTTTTGATCTTTAGAATGTAGTCCACATCTGGTAAGCTTGTATACAGACCGTGGGTTGTATTTGTCTGTAAAGCACCACCTACAAACCTAAGCAATGATAAACATTCCTGGGTCTGCAATCTATGAATGAAATAGATCACCTTGAATGTTGCGTCCTACAGCATGAATGTGTATGCATATCTGAAGCTGAACAAGCTACTGCTTTATGATGTTCAAGGAATTCGATGGCAGAAGATTAAATTTATAGCTAAGAGAACAGCTTTATGTGTGCTGGAACATTTGTAAGGTAAATTTTGTTGTTAATATTTTTGCAAAAAAGCTGAAGAAGTTGAAAACCCAACAGTTAGAGGATACAAACAGTGGTAAAATGCTATAATCAGGAACCTTCTATGAAAGCATTCACTGCATCATAGACCAACTGCCAAGAAAGCAAAAGAAGTCTTTCTGTGCAGTATATAATATCATACAGCAATACAAGAAACATAATCTTAAATTATATTCTTTCATTCTGGAAGCTATAGAATAAACTCAGGTAAACTTCTTGATGACGAAGTACAATGTATCTAAAGAACTGAGAATGATCTCTTAAAAATTGTAACAAAAATATGGTTGGAAAGATCTTTTCATAAAAGATTGCCATAATCTGTTGTCTAAAATTAAATTCCAAATAGTGCATCAATTTCTAATCATAAAGACTGTACGCATATTTAAACACACTCAAAGAAGCTCAAATATCTTATTTTTCCTACGCATGTTTTATTTGTTTGTTTTAATGTTAGCGTATATAAAATATTCCTACAGATAAAACTTATGCTGTAAATAGACATAGAAAGTGGACACGGGTGCCAAGTCAATCTCCTGGAAAACAAAGTATGTAGGAAATATTTGTGGCATAACTAGTCACATAGGTTTTTCTGGGTAAAAGCAGACATGTTTAGTCATCTAATACTTATTGTCTTGTAGGACTCTGTCATTATTTTCCTTAAATATACTAAATCCTTGATGTAAAACAGGCTTAAAAATTACCCATTTTGAACACTTTAATCCTTGTTCTCTTCTAAAACATTTGTTTTCTGTGAGAATTCTCACCAACTTTTTATTAAAAGTAGACTTTTGTCCTAACAATGAAAAGTTGTAAGCAACTCTGCAAGTTACTTATATAGGAGAAAACCCTTGTTGCATGTACAGTACCCTTGCTTATAGAGGCCCTTGTGTGTATGAGCTCTCCCAGATGCACAACAGCTTGTCAGCATTTCTGCAGCCACTACCGTCAATTTGATTCACAGTGATCCCTTCTGCACAGATTATCTTAAAATAGCACAGTATAAATGAAATCTTGCAATTATCACAAACACACGGGTGTTTGGTATGGCAAGATGACCTATAGGAGAGTTGTTAATTCAGCCTGGAGAGCTTGTGTGCTTGATCGGTGTTTTCTGAGGGCAATTGGCCGTAGTGCCTGCACGTACCGTTGCAGCAACACACGGCTCATGTGACTTATTAAACCTATATGAAAAATGCATGGGTAGCTGGTCCCATTGCTGTCCTTGTTAAACTAAATGCTAAACAGCCCAAGAAAAAAAGAGGTTGGAGATTGAAGCTGAAGGAAAAGAGAGATACCACTATAAAGCCTTGCTGGCAGACAGCCACACGATCTTCACCTTGCCAAATTGCCACAGCCAGCCATAAGGGTCTTCCCTCTTTTCTTTTCCTCCCTTTCCTGCAGTGAGTCACTCTTGCAGACATTAACTTGGTTATTCTGTTAGTTGATGAAAGACACCATGTATTCTCTTATTCTATGTTCTGTTTACCATCACATTGTGTACAAAATGACTTATTATTGCTTTTCCAGATTTGTAAACATTATTCTCACACCTTTTTAAATAATCCCCTATTACTGTAATTATGAACATGTGTTTGCACTATCCTGCAAAGTAATATGTGTTACAGAGAAAAAAACCTAGCTGTTCTTTTGTAGTGACAGAAAAATAATATTCTTCATTTAAACTCAGTTTGTTTTAGTGGAGTGTTAACGCACTGAAGCTGACATTATTAACAGTACAACTTTACTTAAAAGGCTACAGGAAGGAAGATCATGTTAGGTTTCAGAAACATTGTTTTTGTGCAGAAGCTGATTATTTAAGCCAGAGATTAATGTGAAACTGGTGATGGTCGTGTATTCTTTTCAGTCTCTACAAATGACTAAATGTATTACAGAAATCAAGGTATTAACCACACTGAATATAGAGAAAAATACAGTAGTTTTCTAGTGACAAGAGATTCTATAGTAAAAAAGAGTTGTAATCTCCCACGTACAGGGGATAAAACATGAGAAGGAGATAGCCAGCATTTGCATCAGGCATCCTTCCTATAGATTTCTGTATCCACATGCAGGCTGAGGGTTATAAGCTAGACTTGAGTACTGGGAAGAGTAGAGGTTAGAACCGCATGAATCATCTACTATCTGATAGTACTTTTCTTTCTAGATTTGCTTTGCACTTGAGTTGCATCTTTGAAAAGATTCACGTGCTTTGACATCACAGGGATTGAAAACTATAGACACTTAAAATATTTTCAGTCTCCTTGAGTTGCTTGTGGTAGGAACCTTGCACTAACAGATGAAGAGTCTAAATGAGTTATAAGTGTCTAGGTCTTTATTAAACAAAGCCAAGAGAGATATAAAAGAATCTCAGACTGTCTGTACCTACATGCTTCTTTCCAATTCTAATAGCTGCTTTAGTGCTTTTCTGTCTGTTCTCTCTACTGAGGTTCCTATTCTTTGCTTAGTTTTCCTTTTGCACATTTTATTCTCTGATGCACTAGATGCTCTGCTAAGTGACACATTCCAACCACAGTCACTGAATGTGACAGCCGTGCTGTATCTAATCATGAAGTGCTGTGCTCAGATACTTGACAGCGTTTGAAAATATTACTCTTGCTCTAAAAACAATGTGAGGATTTTGGTGTAGCTGAATGTAGCTAGACTGATAATTGACTGAGAATGATAAATTAAATAGGAATACTATTTCTTTTTTTTGTATTGCGAAAATTTTGTTTGGTTTTTTCTTGCAATTCAATTACTGTAAGTTTCTCCATGAAGTTTCAGACAAAATATAATGCTCATTTCTTAATGACTGTAAACTCTGTAAAAGTCTGTTTTTCTGAAGGATAGGATAAATCGTAGTTCAAGGAACTGTATTTTAAGGAGAAAGGTGACACCGAATTGGGGCTTACTGTGAAGCATCTTCAAGCATCCTGGAAAACTGAATTTGATTTTGCAGAGTTCTGTTACTTTTAAGATTATCTAAGAGGATTATTTGTATTTCTAGCAAAGCTCCAGGAAGCATAAAATACATGTAGAGTGGAGTTAACTTGAGATCCTGTTAATCATGTACTTAGCATCTGTGTTTTTAGGACAGTACATACTTGTGTGATTCTGGCCCATCATTTGCGATCTGTTTGAGGATTTCTGAGAATAAAAAGGCTATATATAAATTTAAGATAATATTATCAGCTGAAGCTCTGTCAGATTCAATAGGCAGAAGTAGATAAACTGAGCTACTGTGTACCACTTTGAGGTTTTAATCTTGGAAAATAATAGATTGCAAACAATAAAGAGAACCTGTCTCCAATTTTATAGTTGCCCTATGTCCTAGGTGCTCATTCAGCATTATTTTTTCAAGATATCTTGTTTAGGTTAGAAAATAAATCATATTAAATTAAATTTACATATTTTACAGAATATACTACTTTCTAGTAGTATATATATTGCATTCTGGAAACACAGTTACCATTAGCAATATTGGAATTCTTGTGTTTAACAAATGAAGAACAACTCCAGAACTACACCTCTGTAAAGAAATTTTCATATATCTATACTTGCACAAACTAGATCAGTGAAAATTATATCAGCAATTAAAGCTTATAATTTTCTTGCCAAGTAAAGAGCGGAGGTGGGTGTACTTACTATGTCAGCACGATAGCCACAGCATCATTTAGGACACTCTCTCCAAACAGGAGTGTGTACAAATCTGTATCCACATGCAGCTCATGGAAAATAGCAAGGACGGTCACTGTATGGAGACAAAGAAAAGAGAGTTTCTTACTTTAATATTCTTCTGGTAGTTCAAAAAATAAAGCGATGTTAGAATATGTTTTTTGAGAAGTCCTGTCCTATTTATTATCTAAGTGGATAACAGTAAGTTAAAATGGATCAACTGAAGTATATAAGATCCTTATACCCAGCAAGTCTATGAGTTTTGGTGCTTCAGCTGAGTTAGGGAGAAACTTTCCTTCTCACACAGAGAATCACGCATAAATGAAAATGTCACAGCATATTTTACCATGCATAAAGGACTTTGATCTTGTGACCAAGGAGAAATAAGGATGCTGAGAAGACTTGGCTTTTGCCAGAGACTTTGTGTGTGATGAGAATGGTGGTTTACCTATTTTAAGAGGGATATAATAATGCTTATCCATCTCTTATGCATATTGACTGAGGAACACGCATAATAGCCTTACACCCTGTCCCACCAGCAGCATAATCACTTTCGCCTCAAGTTTAGCATATGTGTAGTCACGAAGCCCTCTCATCCAGATCAAGATACTTGTAACCCATTTTAAGGTTCCTTCAGCATATCATTAATTTAAGTCTCTTCCTTCTTCCTGAGTTACATGCTATGTTTCATTTCTAGCTTACCAGCACAATAGAAAAAAAAATATGTTGAATTTAAATTGAAGTTGGGCAAATCATTTAGACACACATCCTCAAGGGCATTTAGACACTTGGCTCATATTCAGGTAATTAAGTCCTACAGATATTAAAAGGATGCCTGAGTTGTTTTATGCCTCAGTTTCCTTACCTGTAAACAGGGGATCACAATCCTTCCCAGGATCTACCTAGCACTTCAGAATCTCCAAATGAAGAAGGCTATGTTCTGTGTTCTGTGTTGATATTATTATTCTCTCTCTGCATGGATAAAGCAGAGCTTTCTCTTTTCAAACAGAATTTAATGTAAAGGCCCCCAATTATTTGTATGGTTAAAAATTACATGGTAACTCACTGCTTTGCTGGTGCTCATTCTAGTACATAATTGTGCAATTGACTCAATCCTCATAGCCCAGGAATCTGAAAGATTAGGAGTGCCTCTGGGATGCCATGTTAACATCTGACATTTCAGAAATGAAAATTATATACTTTTACATTGAGATGACTGCTGATAATTCACACAAAAACATGAACAGGTGATTATGCTTTGTCTTAATAACATTTCTTGAAACTTTGAAATGATTGCTGATAAGATTTTCTAAATGGTACTTAAATACTCGTGCAATCAAAAACAGTTTATAAACCCAAAATAGATTCTCGTTTCTCCTGTAAGATTTTATGTCACAGTGATCTTTGTTGATGTGTTATCTTTGAAAAATTTTGGAAGTGTTATTCTACAGAAGACAACTTAGGGGATGTGTGTAGCTGAACATTTGCTGATATAGCTATATTTAAATTAGGTAGTTATATTTAACCATCCTGGTAACCTCACCCATCTACTCTCAGTGCAGTTATAATTTAAACCAGGAAAAGAGTTCTTTCCCCAGAACAGCTCAAAGGTGTAGGAAGAAGTTTTAGTGGCAAAAGATATTTTCTTGGTTTACCAATATATAGTCAGGTTTTTGCTTGATTAGCAAGGCTGCCTTAATGTGCTAAATGTGGACCCAATTTAGTCTGCCATTCCTTGATGTCATTGGCATAACAACAGACTTGTTTTCTATAACTATTTGCCACTTTCAGCTTTTGCTTATTAGTTAATTAGTTTGGGCTCACATGAATAGTCCCTGTGATAATGACAGAAGGAAAAGAAAATAATAATCAAAGTCCAAGGTACTGTTGGTATGTATGTGTAGCAGGCCAAGCCAATTAGACAGATGCCTACACATTCTTCTCCTTCCTCTTGCCTCCTAAGAGAACAACAGCTTTCTCTTCTTGCTTTCTCTCCGACCTCTACCCCCAAAATCTGACTTAAAATCTTTTCAAATGAAAGCAAAATGATAAAGCAAGCAACACAGCAATGCATCAATTGAGAGAGACTCTACAGTTCACCCAGGTCTCAGAAAGTATCTTCCATTTCAAATGTTTCTCCCATTCCCAATGGAGGTTATTGGATTTTCTATACCGCATTGCTCATCCCTGACTGAAGAATTCTGGTCTCTGGGAGGAAGACCAGTACCAGTATCTGCTCTGTCCTGCCAAGACACAGCAAGCTTTAGCCATACCACTGCTGACAGATATTTATCTGACCTGTTTTTAAAGAACAGAATTGATGCTGGTTCCACAAATCCCAAGGGAGACTAACCCACTCTTCAGTATTCATACAGTTTATAAATGCAGTTATTCCTGAACGTCTAACCTAAATCTCCCTCCTGCTCTTCAAATCTATAATTTCCATTCCTAGCCTAATGAGACATGAATAATTTGTCACATTTGTTCCCTTTTTCTTTCCAGCAACATTTTGCCTATTCAAAGACTATTTTCAGACATCTCCTCCCTAAACTGACTCACTTCTTTCAATCTTCTCTTTTCAGTAATGTTTTCTAGCCCTCTAATCACTTCTAATCAGTCCATATCTTTCTTGAAATACAGTGCCCAAAATCAGATCCAAGTACTGTAGTTGACATTTGCTGTCAAGAAACAGTGAAAAGATGCTGTAGAACGTCTTAATAAATCCTGTTTTCCTTTTTTTTTTTTTGCTATGTATTAGTAGTGATGACTCATTTTCAGGTTGCAAACTTGAAATCCTTTTCAGCAGTGAATGCTCATTTCTTATCTTCTATCTATGAACTTGATTATTTCTAAATGTAGCATTTACCCTTGTTGATTTTAAATTATTGCAAGTCATATTGAGTCCTAATTGTGCCCTTCAAGCATTTGCAATCTCCTCTCACCATAGTATTAGATATTGAAGAAGCATCTTCTGCTGTATTAGCCATGTTAAATAGTATCTGCATAAGAACAGAGAACTGCATAATCTTTAGCACATCCACCCCGCTTAAGAGTTCACTAAAACATTGTCACCGTGTTTTGCCAACCACTGTCTAGTCGTTTCCTCAAGATCACATTAGCCTTCATTAATTAGGAGAATCTATGGATATAGTACAGAATAAGCACATTAAAAGGGACATGATACTGCTATGGAAGAAAGTTAATTTAAATTGCTCTCTGGATAGAATATCTATGAATAGTCATCACTGTCCAAAGCAGTCACATCATGTTTTGTCTGATGGATGAATTTAAAACTCAAGAGAATTGATCTAAAAATTCAGTATTTGCTATCATATGCCACAGCAATTTATCTAATCTGTGAGAATTTAGATCTTTAAGTGAAGATCATCAATATTACATTGCAGTAAGTTTGGCCTCTCTGGCTTTCTGGAGGCACTTTTGAGGAACAGTAAGTAGGGCTTGGATTTTGTGTAGTAACAACTCAAAGGCTTGTATAATTCATTAGTTACAATATGTATTATAAAAAACCAAAACTACTTTTCATTAAAGTACATAGCATCTCTTAATCTCCTATTTCAATCTAAGCATACGAGGCCAGAGATAGAGATAGGTAAAGAACTAGATGGCTAGAAGGACAGGTAGTTGGGGGACAGCAAACAAACATCTTTTGTGGCAGTAGAAAACTGACACAAATAGAAAAAATATGTATCGGAGCCCCCGACTCAGAAAGGGCTGTGAATTTCATTTAAAAATTCAGTGATGGGAAGCCTGGAATAATGAAGCACCTAAGATTTTCTCAGTACTTGCACCAACTGAAATCTGATTCGCTTCTTCCTTGACTTCATGGACTGAGGTAACATCTGTTAGATGCTAAGCCTTGCATGACTTTGGTTGTACCAAGTCAGAACAAGTGTCTGTGGAGCTGGTTTGTGAAAGATATCTTTTGACACATGTAGGAACAAATTGGCTTGCTATTCATTCCTGTAAAAAGTATGTATAACTGAAATATCAGCAAACTACAACAATCCCGATGCTACCGTATCCAATGCTTCTTTGCTGTTATGTTTGAAAAGGATAAGGAAGCTTGGAAAATAAATGAGACCATTATAAAATACTGGTATTATTGTACCTCAGTCTTCTGACTAGAACTATTAACGTCTTTCATAGTTCATGGGCCTAAACGCTTTTAGGAGGGTAGTATCAAATGGGAAGAAAATAAGATGAGAGAAATCTCACTTATATTTCCTATCAATTTTTCTCTAAAATTACAATTCCAGTTTTAATTACAGTCTCCTTTCCTGCTAATCAGTCACGCCACTCACAGATTAGTTCAGTGCTGAATAAGAAGAAAGCATAAAAGTGTTTTCAGTAAAAACACATTTATAAACAGTCTTATATAACCAGTGTATAAAAGGTATTACCTTGTATTTATAAATTACACTTCTTAATGCAAAATCCCCGCAATCAGGTCTCCCCGCAGCCTTCTTTTCTCTAGACTGAACAAGCCCAACTCTCTCAGCCTGTCCTCATAGGAGAGGTGCTCCAGCCCTCGGATCATTTTAGTATCCTTTGATTTTATGAGAAACAGAAACTGCTTTTTCTGATAAATATCCAATTTTATCAATAACAACACCAGTGCAACTCACATTTTCAGTTCAGCTGTAACCATAGTAACTACAAATAGGGAAGAGCCTTGTGATTATCAATATGACCAAAGGTAAGGGAGTTCATATAGCTCAGAAATAGCTGTGCTTCAGCAAACCTTGTGAAGGTAAATCTGTTTTCTGTGCTTGAAATGTCAAAAGTTAAAAGAAAGAGAAGTGCTAAAGATACATGAAATGTCTTTGGATTGGAAGGTCATTGCACAGAGTGTGTTAATACCAACAGCTAAGACAAACTGCCAGAGTTGTACTTTTCAGCTCTTTTTTGGTGGCTAAGGCAGAGATGAAGTCTTTTCATTCACGTGCCAGTTTTGGTCTGTCGTTCACCTTACTCCATTACAACCACTGGTACCCTGAAGCAGCCTATGGCTGGGGCTTATTGCTGTGTCTGCTTTCCAACCACAGAGGATGGTTGTAGTCAGAATATCCCTATCCACGCTCACACGTGAGGCAGCGTCATTGTGCAGGTCTCTGATGCTCAGGGACCGAGAGCTGGGGGCTCCACTCCCCACACCAGCACCTTTTCCACAGTCTCTTTGCTGCTCTCGATGAGTGATGCATGTACCAGAACATGGGGAGGAACTGCTCCATCCCCTTTGAAGGGATCACACAAAAAAACTTCTAGAGTCAGGTTATATTAGAAGTCAAAACACAATACTAACACACTAACGCAAGGGAAACCCTTCCAACAACAAAATCCGTGCTGTTTTACACAGATGAAATAACAAGAAAAGATTATTTCTCCAACTAGATGATAAATTATACTTATTGATCAGAATAAAGAAAAATATAAATACTGGTCTGACATTTTAAATCAAAGACTAATGAAGGAAGAATTTGGGAATTTAAAAATTCCATTTCTTAGATATCAAACCTCTCACCTGAAGTCTTGAAATCAGAAACTTCTTCTGCTGAAAATGATAAATTAATGGAAGGAGGTATTTCCTGTAAAATGAACGATTCACTTGAAAGTAACCTTGCTTTGCCCCTAAAGTTTCTACCTTTTCTTTCTAGAGATGTGAGAGTTTTTTGAGGCATCCCTAAGTATCACAGATGTCTAGGGATCACAGTCTATAATGCAAAACACATTCCCAAGTATATACAGTCATAAATTCATTTTTTAATCTCAGTTGAAGTGCTAGTTTTCTATATAAGGGAACCCATAGCATAAAAGAGCAATTATTTTGAACTGATTCTATGCAAAAATCTCTATATTCAAGATCTTCAAACACCCTTCAAAACTAAAACCTACAGAGTGCTATGACAGTATTTCCTTCTTCCTAACAATATTAGCATGTATTTAGCTGGCATACATTTGTTTACTGCCCTGGTAGTAAAATTCTTCATTTAACATGTAAACATCTACCAGTCATCTCCACTATTACAAACAAGGAGCTCAATCAAACCAACTTCTGTCAAGTCAACAGATCAGTTTTTAACATCTTTTGAGAATTAATTGCTTGCCACAGCCAAGGGAAATTAAATCTCTTTTTGAAATGATCTTATAATCCTACACAGTGAAGAATTAAATGAAAAATCAGGTAGCAAATCTGTCAGGAATTTATTATTTCATCTCAGGACAGTAATTTATTATTCTATTCTACTTCTATAACACTAACAATATTTCATTAGAGATTTGATTTCTTTTAAAAGCTAGATATCACACACAAAATCATTAGACTGATTATTTTATGCCCTAGTATATATCAGTCCTCCAGGGGACCACATTTTAACTGATTTTGGAGTTCCAATGAGCTCTTTACATGGGTTGAGATTATAATTCACTAGCAAATGCTACAACACAATGAAATATTTTCAGCAATGTCTACTATTTAATTAAGCAAAAATTTGATTCAAAATTCTTTAGGTCTTTGAAGGACTGAAATTTATGGATAAGATTAGTAAAAACATGAAACAGAAGAGTAATTGCAAACAGTATTAATCAATGCTAGTTTGTCATACTAAAAGTAGTTTTCTCAACTGCAGTGTTAGCTTTTAAAGCCTATTTAAAAATCTGGGAAAAGTAATCCTTATTATTTCTTATTCCTTCCAGCACAAGAAGAGCTTCTCCTTTTTTTCCTCATAATTGTTCCAGATTAATCAGTGGTGATTTAATACTATTATAGTCAAAATCAGTGCATTTGTCTTATATATTTCTCCTCATAAGTCAACACATTCATTTGTGAAACTAAATAGTATTGGACTAGAAAATGGGAAAAGAAACTAAGCCAACTGCAAAACTCTATTCATAGCACAATCAAGACATGTACTTGGAAGCTGTAAGCAACCTTTTATTCCATAAGCAATTTATTTTCCTAGGTTTTCTTTGTGCTTTCAGTTTCTGTTTTTCTCTTGCTCTGAGGATAGGCTCCAATCATGTGCTGAGTATTACTAAAGTAGTTGGGTGATTTTATAAGTGGTAGCATATTGGATGCTTGGATTAATTTGAGAATAACAATTTGATGCAGCTTTTACAGCAGTCTTGCAACAACCATTTTTGTGGAAATAGATTGTTTTACACCATATTTTTAAGCCATCAGAATGATAAATCACAAGCTCAAAGTCTTTTGTTAAATATTGAGGGTTTGTTTAAAGAATGGAAGAATTTGTAGAGCAATGTTGCTTTTTGTCGTTTCTTTTAACAGCCATGAATTTGAAAGATTTATTCATAAGTTTCTCAGAGAAGCTTCTCAAGGGTAGTTAACACTAATGCAGCATGTCATGTGCATCAGAAAATGCTTTCTGTTCCACTTCCTGTAGCAGCTCAGCTGAAGATCTTGCAAAAATCCAGTGTACTCTTGCAGACTTTGTACTTTGCTTCTTTGTAGGTAACATAGTAAAAATCCTTTTTTCGTGTCCTCCTCCACTGTGGTCCCACAGGTGCAAAAAGCGATACTGTCCTTTTAATACCAGAGAACTCTTATTAACATTTTAAATGTAACAAAACCTGGACAAAGCTATGAAACCTAGGCTAACTTTGAGGTTAGCCCTGTTTTGATTAGGAGGTTGGACTAGAAGACCTCCAGACGTCCCTTCAAGTCTAAATGATTCTGTAATTCTGTGATACCAAAATTCACTGAGTCTCTTTCCCAGACTTGGTTATTTACTGTAACTTTGGGCTTTAAATCTCACATCTGCAAATTCAAGTCAACCTGTTGGTATCTTATCTTTTTAGAGTTGTACTTATGAAACACTGCATTCAAATTATGAACTGATACCTTATAAACAGGATTTCTATGGCCAAATCTGAAAGCTACAGTCCCCATATCTTTTAACTGGGTTAGAGCACAGATGAATGCAATGTCTAAATTATTAACCATGAGGCTCCAGTGTTACAGCAATTCTCATATCAGCGATGAACAGACAGGAGTCCTTACAATTGGAGAACAACATTTTTCCAATCTCACTAGCAATTTCATCTATAAAGTTTGTGAGCTAAACATAGGTAAACCACTTACTAAAACAAACACAAGGGATCACTGCAGCCAATTTGACTTATGATTATCAGAATATCAGACATTTAACAGCTATGGGAATAAAAAAATCAAGAACACAGACTTTGAACATTTCTATGGCACATGCAGTTGTTATGTTCTTATTTATTTGTCTGACTTTTGAAAAAGTAATTTATTTTAAACAGTTACCTGGATCTGTGGCAGACATCAACGATCCAAAAAATAAACAGTCAGTGAAGTGGAATTCCCATCCTTTTAACTGCCCAAGGTGTATCATGGCCTTCACAAAACCATACATTATCAACCTGCCAGGGAAAAGATAAGACAAGTGTTCAGACAGAGTATGCAACACTTATGCTTAATTTACAGTATTAAGCAGGTTCTTACTCTCTTCAACTTCTTTTAAAGAAATATATCACGTGAATATTGAACATAAACAGCTATCGTATAAAAATTCTATTTCCTATTCACCTGTTCAAGTATGGTATTGAAACGTGACAGCCAACTCCAAAGCAAAGATTTTCTGAATAATTCTCATCTGCTGATAGCAGAGGACAATGCTTTTAGCTGTTTATTTTTCAAAAGGAAAGATAATGTAAGCTTAAGAAGACACTATTAAGGCTAATTTGTCTAATGATGTAGAACATTTAAACAAAGGCAGTTCTACTATCAGCTCTGTGGCTTGCTCTAATATTTCTAAATGAATTGTTTTATTCTATCAGCTTTTAAATGTTAGCTGTATTCAAAGTTCCAGATAAGGTCTCCAAACGAGACAGATATTAACAACTCACAATGACAGTGAGGCAACAAAGCCACACTTCAAAATGCACTGCTAAATCCTTACTAGTTTCACAGGAAATGTTATCATTTTTTATATAACTAGGTAATGCTATCTAAGATGTGTATTCTAACAAGAATCTTGAAATATCTTGAAAAAAGGAATTCACTTGTTGTTTGAACCTGCAGTAGATTTTTAAATTTTTGTACATTTCCAATCGAGTTAATAAAAAACCCCATTGCATTCAATACCCTTTTCCATAAACACAACACATAAATTGACAGCTGTGCTCTTCTAACTACAGACTTTTAAAAAATCATTTAACCAGAGCTACATGCATTCACGTAGCTACATTTTGCCCTCAGCTATTCTCCTAAGATGTTTCTGAAGTCACATAAGTATAGAGGATCCGAGTGACAGATAAAGTGCTACTAAGCAAACAGCCTGAGAGTTAATTACAAATTGTTTTCAGATACTTTACCAAGCTGTAGATCTTCTGAAGTATAGTTAACTTATTACACTAGTAGGGAAGCAAATAGGTCACCACAGAATCCCCAATGGTCCTAAGAATTTGTGTATATATTTACATAAGCTGCCTTGCAAACAGTTAGCCACCAATTATTCTAAAATCTCTTTGATTGATGAGCTGGCTTTCTCTCAATTCCCAAAGAACAATGATTCCAGACCCTGCAGTGAAGTTAGTCTTTTTATTCTCAGCAACAAATATGTTTGCTTTAAGGAATGAGTTCTTAAAAAACTGACTGGTGCTGCTAGCCTGATTTGCAGTTGTCTCAAAAGTCGATGCTAATGGCAGTGAACATATGCGCGCCTTTTAGAAATAATTGCCCAAACCTGCTTGCAGTTTTGACCAGAGATACTCTTCTGATTCAGTTAAAAATATTTTAAAATAATAAATAAAATTAAGTTTGGACTATCTGGCAAATTTAGTCACGATAATTCTTTAGATACCCACAGTAGACATCATCCTGGTCTTTAGCATTGTTTCTTACACATTACTGAATATTTTCAGTATGTCTCTGCTTACTGTCTGTACAAAGTTGCAGGTGAATTGGACAAAATTGTATTCAGGAGTCTTTCATTGACATCGGAGGTCTAAGTTTGCCATAAAGTTTAGTACAGTAGAAGACTTACAGAACCTGGTCTTAGTTCACATACTGGTCAATTCTTGGTTGCACTGAAAAGGGAAATAAAACTGAAGATCGAACTAACCAATGGTGCTGATTTAATCAGTGAGATGCTAACCCTTATCCAGCAGAGAAAAGAGAACAGCAAATAGACTCAGGATAGTATGCTTTTTTTTTTTTTTTTTTTTTTTTTTTAAATTCATAAACTACTTAATACATTTTGGTAGTGCTAAAATGGCAAAGGTTCAATTTTTCAAACATAAACCCAAGTAAACACAGACATACATTTGGATTATGTGAGAAACTGCCGGTTTAAATAAACCACAAGAATCTCTACTTGTACTTCCTCCATCTAATGCATATGAAAACATGCATAGAGATAATTTCCTATTGCAAATTAACTTTTAAAACACTCTGGTTTATTTTTTCTTTAAAAGCTGTATATTTTTAATGAAGATATACATTAAAGTGATCATTAATCGTCACTTATCAGTGATTTCTTACTTGACACACCCATACAAAATGAACCCCCCCCTTCATTATAAATAACCTTACAATAACTTTAAAATAACTTTAAGCAACTTTAAACCAGAAATTATTTATTTTATTTTCAATTATAATTTTCTAGTAATCCCAAAATTTGGTTTCTTGTCATCTTCTTCAAACTACACAAAAAGTTTATCTAGAGGCTATTTTGAAAACTAGAAATCAAAGGGCAGTTCTGAACTGGAGTAAGTTCTCTGATGTTTGTAAAATTAACAGAACTATGGCAGTTTATACTAGCTGAGAGTTTGCTCTCAGGAAAATAATACTCACACATCCACTAAAAGAATGGGAATTTACCTTATTGTATTCCTCTATATTACAAGCTGAGTATGTCATGTGTTCAGCATTTTTTAAATTTACATTTTAAATAAAATCGCTTTTGTTATCCTGCACACGACACCAGATCTTGTTCTGAGTTTTACAGATTAGAACTAAGAGAAATTCCAGTTCTAAATCATAGATGTCTCTGCATTTTAGACTGGTAAAACTGAGACCAGACTCTAATCCTATGATTTCCAGCTTGTAATTTTTTATTATTCCACCATGTTACTCTGGCTTTATCATTGTCTTCAGTGACAGAGATTATCCAGGTGACATGGTCTAATATATAGTTAAATTTAAGCAATAAAGCAATTTATCTATGAGAAATGTTACTAACAACCCTTTTTAGAGTACTAGTTGATGATATAGTGTGACTTTTCCACTACGTATTGAAAAGTTGGATCTCAGCTGGATACTTGAGCTCCCAATGATGGTGATAACAAACATCATGCAGTACTACACAACATAACTGTTCTTAATGGAAATCCAATGAGGAAAGCATACCCCAATGTCAGCAGGACATTAATCCCAAGGAAACACCCTTCATTGATGTCCCTATTGCTATTACAAACCAGAACTGAAAAAACAATCTTATTGATTTTTAGGGCTGCTATCATGTCATTTCATACATCTAGGTTATTTTTAGCAAGTTTACACCTACCAAGTTTCAGCAAATCTGATTGCTTTATTCATCTTCAATAATCCATTTACTATATATGTTAAAAAAAATTGTTAAAAAATCTGTTAAAAATATGTAAATAAGTCAAAGTGTCAGTGACTCTGAATTTCCTCCAGAATGTTCCTCTCCCACTAGAATGGATTCCCAACCCAGGGCTCACTGTTGACACAGAGTAGGCTCTTGACACAAATCAAATTAACAATGTTAGGAGCTCTGAATCTGTTTAGTAGAATGGTACCTCCATCTTTCCAATGCCTGTCTGAAATAGTCTTTTTTACTTACTTTTTACTTTTTTACTAATCTAGAATGCTAAATTTTATTTTTTATTCTTTTACGATATCGGAACTGAGATCTTCAAGGTTGCATAAAGAAAATAGAAGCTGAGTTGCAAATCAGTGTAACCCTAATTTCCAATGTGGCTTTGAAAATCTTTAAAATACACTTGCAAACTAATTTTATTTCATGTACTTTTTTTAATCCTGTTTTTAATAGGTGTTGTAAGTTCTTTGGGAAAGTGGTTGCCCTGTAAATTTTGGGACCTTTATCTCTGTGTTCTATGTGATACTCCTCTGATAAACATTATGAAGTAACTGCTGTTTCCTGTCTATGTCTGGATTTTGTATTTATATTGTGAAGTGTGCATCATTTAGAATACTGTATTAGCCACGCGAGATAAGTGTTCTTTTATTTTCCCAAAATGAAGTAGCAAGTTGTATTCTGTGGAATAAAAAGAATGAAGCACAGGTCTATGAAAGGACTTAGGAAACTTCTACTTTTATTGAAAATCTGAATCCTCAGAGCTACTGCCTTAGAGCCCTACTACACTTAATTTTCATCCATTAAGTCTCTTAACTCCCAACAGGTCTTTTTGAGTGGCTTGTCCAGCAGGTACTGGTTGTCTAAAGATTCTTTGGGATTCACAAGCTAGTGAACGACCTGTCTTGCCAGTGAGGTCTGTTAGAGAGATGCTGAGACCTGGCCCTCACAAAACCCAATGCTGAATGAAAAAGAGGTGGTTCCACTTCACAGTCCCTTTTCACTCAACTCTATTAGAGAAAGACATGTGAGCCTCAGATTCAAACGCCTGCTTCACCTCGTTCACCTTCATTTTTCCTAGATACTAATAACATGCCAAAGGGAGATTCCAGTTTCGCAGTGCCTAGAAGCTGCTCCACCTTGCTTATCATTAGCTATTATTCATTAAACTAAACAGCTAGACAGTGCATGAATGTGCAAGTGTGACATGGTATCAGGTGGTCTGGGTCCTCAGCCTGGGTGATGGAAATCTGAGCTTGAGCCTACACTATGATTTATTTTTTTCCTGTTCTGTCCCTCCAGCTTTGTATAGGTAACTTGAAGCTGTGAATTCTGCTAGGTGACAAAGTGTCTCAAACCGTGCCTCTCTTTCATCTAGGAGTATATGACTGTTCAAGGAGCTACATATAATCAATACAGAGTAGGGAGTTGATTTGGGGTTGCCCTACCTCCTTATCAACTTCTTATTGTCATGAGTAGATATGCAAATTCAGCAGTTTATTTGGGTGATCAGAAATTAGATGATTAGAAACATTATACTTTAGAAAGAAATGGTAATTAAATTGATCAGTAATAAACAGTCGCTGAAGACTTCTCAGTTGAACTTTGTGATGGTTCAGTACTGCAAACAATATTTGTGAATAACTGATTTGGTCATGTGCTGGGGAAGTGACCGTCCCTTTGTATTCAGCACTGGTGAGGCCACACCTCGAATGCTGTGCTCAGTTTGGGGGCCCCTCACTACAAGAAGGACATCGAGGTGCTGGAGAGTGTCCAGAGAAGGGCAACGAAGCTGCTGAA